GGGAAGGGGGGGGGGGGGGGGGGGGGGAAGGGGAATCAGTGAAGATACACTTCCGTGGGGGAGTGGGGAGTGGGGAGTGCACAAGTGGTTAACGGGGACCCCCACTTTCAGCTCATGAGAAGTTGTCTGAAAATTGAGGCCTCCATTAACTGCCCCTCCTTTTTGACAGGTGACCGGACCCCCTTCAACATGCGCAGGCATGCTTCATGGGCACTGCCACAAGCTAGGTCAAACACTCCGACTCATTCGCAGAACAGTTTCAGACACAGAGAGAATATTATCACCTTCCACCTTCCCCTGAACAAAAGGCCCATAATCATTTTTTCTGTCAGGTTCGATCTCAGTGCCTGATGGGTGAAAGCTTGATACTGTAACCTACTGGGCTAGCTCCTATCACAAAAGGCCCATAATCATGACTAGACTTTCAACTGTTTTTTAACAGGACAGACGGTTTATATACATTGCATGATTGACGGGGAAAAGGCAGCTTTATGCCATTCCGAATTATTCCCATTCTGGGAAAATTCCCAAATTGAATGGAACACATATTGCGAAGGCAATTGCCAATCGGGTTAAAGACTTAAAGGTCGACTACTTGAGATATAGGTCACATACGCCATCGAGAGAGTCGCGGATCCCTTGCCAGCCTTCGCCTGGACCACTTCAGTGCCGCCGTCTTGTGTGCGCTTGGTCAGCGCGTCCAGCACATCCTGGGGCAATTCCGCCTTGGGAGTCGCCTGCATCCGGTACACACCCAATCCAGCCCTGTCAATTTCCACTCTACAGTAGTTCTTAAAATTTTGAGATGCAGAAAAAAAAAAAAAAAACTTGAGATACTTCGAAAAGAAAAATGGATGTCGTTACTTTTTCGTATCGTTTCCCTCCCCGTAGAATTTGTTTTGTTCAGAACGTCAGACACCTCCAAGCCAAAATTGAGTGTCATCCTGAGAGCTGAGCTGCGACTCAATACTTAAATCTATTCAATCACTATGCTTGCCCATCATTAAAAACTGTTTCACAGAGTCTCAACTAGGCGGCCTGCCATCGTCGCCATTATGAACCCTAATTCATAGCAGTGTGATCTGGGTATACCTGCACGCGCTGTGTTCTTGGGCGGTGAAAAAAGAAGCTCCGATTGCATCCTCCTCATCTTTAAGAGAAAAAATCAAAATCAACCACCTTCTTAAAAAGTAATCAAAAGCCACTCTGGAGTGCTCAAGGCAAATAAATTTTGCGGCAAGTAGCATGCAAAGCTTTGCCCCCTGCAGGCACATAGCAGGTGCAGCAGAAGCACTACCATTCCCCTCTTCCGCTTCCACTGCAAAACTCCACATCAACCACAAAAGTACTCGATACAACACACCAGAAGTCCAAAGAGGGAGGTAGTGTGAAGGAGTAACATTGCTTCCTCCACACAAGAAAGGAGGGGAGTAACATTGCTTCCTCCACACAAGGAAAGGGGAGGGGATCGTCAAGTGCCAACACAGGAACCACATCAAAACCCGGGTGAGTCCTGAGGGCACTACGACTAAGTAAGGGTGAGAGTTAGGTTGCATGCCCCCCGGACGCCAATGCGCTCTACAGTTGGCAGAAGGGGGAGGGTGGGCAGGGGACCAAGTACACAAGGGAGGGAGAGGAAGGCATCCATCAGCATCACATGAAGCTTTACAGGTGGCAGGAAATGCAGAGGTGGGGGGGGGCGGGGTGGAAGCGACGAAGGAGGTTTCTGTAGCTGTGTCGCATGATGCTTTCCGCGCTGAGGGAGAGGGAGGGCAGTGTCAAGTGGCATAACACCAACGATTCTGTGCATAGTAATATCTGGCAGAAGGGCTCCATACCCTTCTCTCTTTGTCGGTGGGGCCACATCAAATCATGTAGTAGAGGTTCAATCAAGATATTTCAGCCTGTCTTTCTCTCATCTGTGTCTTTTCCACACACTTTTTCCACCTCGATATCTCCCCGCACTCTTGTTGCCTCCACAATTTTCCATCCAACCTTATCTTGAACCACCAGTACTTGGCCCAGCTATCGGCCGCGGAAAAAAATAGAGTAGAAACGTTTCTAGTTGGATGAATTTGGGCGCTCCTGTAGTGGCCCGTACGTTTCTGAAAATCGCATAGCGTTAAGGCTACGCGACTTTAGGAAGTACTGGTGGTTTAAACTGAGTAAACTCTCAATTCCACATCCCTCTCCTGCTTTGGTCTCTCACCCCCTCTAGCTCCTGCCCATCAAACTATCAATAATAGTGTTCATAATTTTATATAATTTCATACCAAAATTACCTCCAAGGGAAATAGATCATGACTTCGCGCAGTCATAATATCCACAAACAGATCGGGCGAATTCCTCTCAATAACCTGCACAGTTAATCCTCTGCAGGGCAGAGCAATCAATGCTGGCAGGCTTCTTTTCTCAGTTTCTGGTATTCACTCTGTGTATAGGACGCTGGACCCGTTTTCCAGCAGGTGATGCTCCCCACCAATAGATGGAGCCCCTCCCCGGGTGCTAGTGGTGTCTGCTTCATCAGCGCCACTAGCACTGCAGGAGGCATAAAAAAAAAAAAAAA